GGGGGGGGGGTACCTTAGCCCTCTAGGAACCTCTATCTCTCCAGCGAAGCTGGGCTGGCTGGTTGGCTCTACTCTGTAGTCTAAAAAAAGGACTTTCTCCTGAGAGAAAAAGGAACCTCAGCTACACTAAGAAAAGGCAATAGGGCGTTTCAACTGGCAGAAGTGGAGATAAGGCATCTAAAGAAAACCAGATGAATAGGAATTACAAGCCCTGGCTGCAATTTAAGGTGCGGCCCAGAGAGCGGAGATGACACACAAAAAGGCAGGGGTAGACGGTGGACAAAGACTCTGCTTTCCCCACTCAGAGGTCTTCCATCTGCTACAGCTTGAACTCCTGATTTAAGGTGGTACATGGGTCAAGCCTTGGAACCACAAAAAAAGGGCAATAGTGGTGGCGCATGAGGACTGTGACCCGTTGGAGATCTTTGAGGTGAATTGGACTGTCTCCTGCCTTCTTGACTCACCTCTCCAGATCTGGGCATGTTCCTAGATGAGTCTGTCTTAGGTTGTCACTCCCAAGAGAGAGAGAAAGGCTGTTTCTGAAAGGTCAACAATCCCCTAGGTCACCAGCCAACCTGTCATGACTCCTCTCGCGCCTGCTTCAGTCCCACTAGCCCCCACCCCACCCAAGACTGAGGAACCGGATTGTCCTCCAGCTCTGCAGTGAGACTGACCAAGTCCTCTGCAGAGGCTCAGAGAGGACAGTGACTGTCCAAAGTAGACAGGATACCCAGGACTCCCAGGGTCTGGGCTCGCAGAGTCCCAGTCCAAGACTTCTCTCCTGACCCAGTCAGGACTATAGGACTGGAAGATAGAGCTGGAACAGTGAAAAACGACTCTAGAATACACCTAAAGGGCAGGCAGCAGGGAGGCATGGGAGGGGGTACAGCATGAGGAACTGATCTGAATGGCAGGTAGGCAAGGCAGGTCAGCCTTGGGAAGTGGGGGGAGGGGGGTAGAATTGTAAGAGGAGTGCTACCTGCAGCAAGGGGGTGTGTGTTGTGCCCTTGAGTTGGTTATGATCCATAGTGACCCTACATAGGGTTTCCAAGGAGAAGCTGGGAAGCTTGAACTGCCAACCTTCCAGTTCAAACCAACTTTACAGTCCAGTGCATTAATCCACAGTACCACACCAGCAAGAGGGTAGAATGGGTGAACTCCCAGTCCCATGAGGCCTCCTGGAGACATTCCAAGGCCTCTAGCACTCTTTTCCTGTCCTACTTACATGAAAGAAAACCTGGGGACACTTCTTAAGATAAACCAGCTCACATTGGGGTCTGCCCTCTGCCAGGAAGCTTTTCAGACTGCTCTGGACTGGACCACTGAACTGCTCTGGCCAAAGAGGGGGGTCTGGCCTGGCAGGACAAGGACCACCCTGCTGTCTGGGATGGTCTTGCCTCTTCACCTCTCCCACATACGTAAGACATGGACATTTGCACACTCCAATGTGAGAAGCAGATTTGGGCAAATCTGCTGCACAGGAACTTTTCAAAGTATTGAAGAGCAAAGATGTCAGCTTGAGGACTAAGGTGTGCCTGACCCAAGCCATGGTATTTTCAATAACCTCATATGGATGTGAAAGCTGGACAGTGAATAAGGAAGATCGTAGAAGAATTGATGCCTTTGAGTTGTGGTGTTGGAGGAGAATACTAAAAGTGCCATGGACTGCCAAAAGAACCAATAGATCTGTTTTGGAAGAAGTGCAACCAGAGTGCTCCTTGGAGGCCAAGATGGCTAGGCTTCGTCTCTCCTACTTTGGACACATTGTCCGGAGAGAACAGTCGCTGGAGAAGGATGTCATGCTGGGTAAGGTGGAGGATCAGAGAAAAAGAGAAGACCCCCAACGAGATGGATCAGCCAGGTGACATCACTGATGGCGTCAAGTGTGGCAGCGGTAGTGAGGTTGGCCCAGGATCAGACATTGTTTCGTTCTGCTGTGCATGGGGTCGCTATGAGTCGGTTCCGACTCAATGGCACCTGACAACAACTACAACAATGTGAGAAGAGCCAGAACATTCATTTACACCCACTTTGAACACATGCCTTTGCGCCTCCCAGCCTGGCCCTCTATTGGCCCCAACTGCCCTGTGAATGCAGCGAGTGCCTGAGTAATCCTACAAAGCAGCAACTTTAGAAGATAATTTTCAAATTCAGAACGCAAAGCCCAGCTTCACTGACAGCCTGAGAGGCTGTTTCTTAACCCTGGGAACCTCAACCCCAGATATACAAAAGTCTTTATTTCACAGAAATAAGGGCTATTTCCACAGCTATGAGGAGGAGACATGAGGCAAGATGGGAGATGCTGGACTGACTGTTCTCTTCAGAAGGTTCTTCAGAGTCCAGTGAGAGCCCCAACCTTGGCACAGTCTGAGCCCCAATGTTGGCTGCTACCATTTAGGGAGGGTGGGGCTGGAGGGTGTCAGTCCCCTTCCTGTAGATTTCTGCACAGAGAAGGTGGTGGAGTTGGACATCAACCACACATGCCTGGGAGCCTCAGGGTGAGGGAGGGAGGTCACATGGGGGTGCTCCGGACCTTGTCCTCCTTCTCAGGGATGTTCTCGTAGGCATTCTCATGCTCACTGGACCTGAAAGAGGAAGACCAGGGCCTGGAGGAGTCATCATCCTTCCATCCCATCCCCATCCTGCACTGCGAGGTCACTAGTTTCTAGAAAAAATGTTTGACTCCCTGATCACATCTGGTTGTATACACGTGATACTAGAGACCGCTTAGCACCACCCCAAACTGATGTTTCATCTTCCCATGGAGTTCTGTGTCCCTCACAGAGCCCTATCATCTCATCAGCACCTCCCCCACTGAACCCAGCCCCCATGAGTTCCCATTGTGTCCTAGAGCACAGAGCGGTCAGCCCTGTACCAGTACCTCACCTGAAGCTGGCCGCCATCGAAGAGTACCTTCCATCTGTCCCTACCAGCATCCCATCTGCTTTGTTTCCAACCATCATGACCATGTTCACGGGCTCCCTGGAAACAAGACACATCAGTAGTAGGCTTGGGTCTCCCCGTTCTCCCCTCCTCCACATGCAGACCCTATCCCAGGAACTGGCTATCAAGACCCCAAGGGGCAGACACTACCCCTTCACAGCACCAGCTCTCTGCAGCAAGACCCTTGACTCAGGCCCCATAGAACCTCATACCTTTCCTCCTGCTCTATGGTGCACATGTTGGAGCAAGAGAGTGTCTCAGATTGGGGCCTAACATTTGGAAAACCTTTATCCTAAGTCCCCAGCCTCTCTCCAGCCCCCTACCAACTCTCTTCTTCTGTTTCCATTCTGACCCCAGCTCAGGACCCAGAGCACACTCAGCAGGTTCAGTGTTTGCCCCAAATTTATGCAGGGTTTTCCTCAGGCAACAGGAGCTGAAGGCCAGTGGCCACTGAAGGCAGAGCTGGGGTCAGTGGAGACAGTAAGTATTTTCTAACAAAAAGTTCCTTATCTCTGGATACTTCTGCTTAAGCCCACTGCAGTGTAGTCTACCCCACCACCCCATAAACTGTTCTCATAAAGGTCGCCAGTGACCTTATATTCCTTGACCATCCCACTGGCATCTCAGACTTAATATATCTCAAATTAAACTCAGCAGTCACTCCCAGATCTGCTCCTCTGTGTCTCAATGACTGTTCCCCAATTAGAAACCTGGATGTCTCCTGTCTGTCTTCTTTCCTGCCCTCTGTGTACTTTTTCCTCCAAATCCCAGGGTGTAGATCTGTCCCCTTCTTCCAACCTCTCTGCCACCTCTACAGCCCAGTCTCTCTCCTGACCTCACACACAGCCTCCTCCCTGTTCTCTTCACCTGCAAACATACGTCTCCTGCCCATCTACTGCCAGACACCCAGACTGGCTCAGCTAAGTCATCCAGAAACAGCTTTAAAACTTTGTTAAAGGATTCCTATTGCACTGAAGATAAAGTTCAAAGTTTGGGTAATTGTATACAAGGCCCTGTTTCATCGGGTCTCTGCTTCATCATCAGCTCCATAGCGGGCCCTTCCCATCTCTTTTTCCCAGCTGCCCTCGGGTTTTTCTCAACCATTCAGGCAGCAGTGAGAGTTAGACAGCTGCCACCTTGCGCTGGGTTGAATTTCAGCTCCACCTCTACCCTCTCACCAACTGCCCAAGCACTTATCAACAATAACAACTCAGCAGTTCTAGAGTCATGCCCCTTACTCAGCACCCCAGTATACTTTTCCCTGGGATTGCAACACGCTTGTCTTCAGGGCAGCCTCCTCCCCCTTGTACTTGTACTTGAGCAGCAAAAACTGTTCTTGTGACTGCTTATTCACGTCCCTCTTTCCTTCTAGCCTCTGAGGGCAAGGTGGTGTCTGTCCCATCGCCCTCAGCATGCAGCACAGTAGCTGACCCTGAAGAAGGGCGAGACCCACCTTTCCAGAAGTTATCCCTCCCATACAGATCAAAACATTGAGACTCCAAGAAGAAAAGACATTTCCCCAAAGCTCGCAGTGGCTGGACATCACAAAATCCACTCTGACTCAACTATCACCTACTCACCCTGTGACCTTGGCCCTCAGTTTCCTTCCATGCAGAGAGAGGACTGGATCAGGGATTTATGAGGCCCTGCCCACTTTGACTAGAGCTGGCCGGGGTCTTAGGGAACACTCACGGCTCTTCCTGGCACCAGAAGCGGTTGACCGCAAAGGCAATTGCAACGAGGGTCAGGAATACAGCCACAGCGATCAGGCCCTGCATCCAGGGCTTCAGGTTTCCCAGGCCTGGAGAGGGGAGAAGGTGGGCTACAGAAGGCTGGTACTACAAATATGGAGCAGTGAGAGAGGACGACCTCACACCCAAAGGCCCAGGCTACTAGGACCAGAGGAGACATTCTGGGGTGCAGAGTGAGAGTGAGTGCCCATCTTATCTCAATGAACTGAAGACAAGACCAGGGAGCTGGAGGTAGGCGAGAAGACAGGCTTCAAGGAAGTGTTAAGGAGTTCAAGATGGAGACAGGCCTCAGGGCTCTTCCCCCACCATACTGTCAGATCACCTGCAGGGTCTCCCAAGGAGTGGCCAGGTCCCAGGGACCAAAGGGCAGCCCTGGACAGCAGCCTAGCCCTGGCAACCCAGAGTGGCTCCCCTCCTCCCTACTCTGAGCAGGCTGAGAGGCCTCCCCCC